CGAGAAGAACTTTCTCCTCCGGCCTTATTGCTAACCATCAACGCTTTGGACAATCTGTCAGATGTGAGCTAATGTTTGAAGTCACTTATAATTTAATTGATACGGAGACTGCTTTTTAAGGTTATAAACGCAATTCATTAATTTGGCGTTTATGGTAGGCGAGACAATTTGAGGTTTTTTACTTTTTCTTATAAAATCGTTTAACTTTTTACTTTCACTATATTTATCGTTTTTGGATAATCAGTTGTTATTTTTTTATAGATGTTGCAACTAATTTATATCTATTCTTGTGGGTATTGAAATTTATAAATAAGGAAGTCGAACCGATTTGAACATAATAAAAGAGTTAATTATTTTTTTAAATGTGGAAGTTTCTTCTATATCACGTTTATTCCTACTTTAACATTCTTTATAAGATAATGTCTTCATTACTATTCATAAAACGTACAAGATAGTGTTCATATACCAAAACAGAACATAAAGCACAGACTATTAACACAGTAATTGATGGCCGAAAGGCGAATATTTCATTTATTGCCCCATTCAGACTCTTTTTTTGTTAATTACTGGGCACTGAATACGGTTCAATGTTACTATTAACCTAGAATTTATAACAATAAACGAATTCTATTAAAGACTACGGGGGCTCTTTCACGCCCATTTACTATTATTTGTTTCTTGACCTTCAACGTGCGCTTTAAGTGGTAATTAGCACCGTTTTTAAACAGGCACGATTTACACGTTTGTCACCAAAGCAATTTTTATCACCTCATTTTCATAAACAATAGAGCTAATTTTTTAAACTCTTTACTGCAAGGCAGTTGATATTTTACAAGGTTTTGGGAATGGCAATGGAATAAGTTTTTTTCTGTCCTCAATTTCTTATTATCAACTCTAACACTTGAAACATTATAAATGTTATATCCTATTAAATGATTATCTACAGTTGATTATTTTGAACAAGTTATTGTGGAATAACGAAAGGTTCTTGTGCAACTGTTATCTAAGGTATGCATTAAATAGATGGAATTTTCGTTTGTTACGAAAATGCTCTGGTTTGATCGGAGAACGATCGAATAATAAGCAAAAATAAAATACAACGGACGAGAAAGTCATCGTAAATTGCCTATCCAATCATCAGATTTACGTAAGGTAAAGCAAATTCGGATAATTATCGTGTTAGTATTGTTTGGAAAGGTGAATGGTTTTGAGTAAATCGACTTGTTTTGTTATGCTTATTTATGATTTTAACACTTTAACATCTGTAATAAAGCAAAAATTTGATTTGATTATGGTTTTCATTAAAAAAAGTTGATTGATTATAATAGTACCGTGAGAAACTGAAATATAATTTTTTTAAAGATTTTAAATATACTCTGAACTTTTAAAATATGTGAAGCGAAGCCCTTTGCATATGAAATTATGTTCTTTATTAATATATGATATAATTGCATTATCACGTATGAGGCTGCAGCCTGCTACAAAAATGTTTAATACTTTATCACAAAACTTTTACGAATATTGTGTATAACTAGAGTAACAATTGTAACGCGTACAAATTTTGCATAGTTTATCGTTCTGAATCATCATCATCATTAATCATGCTCTCCAACGCTACCAACGTACTGCATGACATCATACTTCCATCGCTTTTGGTCTTCCTCTAGATCTCTATGTCTGTGGTGTCGATTCTATAATTCTCTTCACTCCTGTGTCTCCTCCCATTCTTTCCAAATGTCCTTGCTATTTCTCTGCCCTTTACTGTGTGGTACCATGTCTGCACTGTCCATGAGTTGCCCCAGTACGTAGTTCATACTTCTTTCCACATTCCAACACCATCATGTATCGATCCATATATCTTGCGTAAAATCAGTCTTTGAAAAATTCTTAATTTGTTTTTATCTTCTTCGACGTGTACAGGCTTTGCATCCACATGTTATTAGTCTTATAACAATGCGATATATGTTGAGCTTCCATTGTCTGTCACTTTTGAGACTTTTCCGTAAGTTGAGTAAATTTTTTAATTTAGTTCCTTTGGGGCGGTTTAGAATCACTATGTCTTCCATATGACAGCTTCTGAAAGCAGATTAAATATTACGGGAGATAATGCGTCACCTTTCCCGATTCCGTAGTTTACTTCAAACAGTTCTATTAGCTCTGCTTGAATTCTGAAAATGCCTTCGATCCAGTTAGCGTGATATTAACTAATGTAACTCATGAAATTTTTCTGTAAAATCAGAACACAAGGGGATATTTCAAGAATATTTGAAACCCATCAATGTGTACTACAAGGAGATTGACTGTCATGTCTGGTTTTTAACATTACCCTAGGAAAGGTGGTACTAGATGCAGAACTCCGAACATCTAGAACAATATTTGTAAATTAGGGATGACAATATAGAGACGATTAGGAAGTATAAGAAATACTTGGGACCCCTGGTGATTAATAAAAACTCGATCAGCTAAATAAAGAAGAGGATCAGCCTACAAATGCGTCCATGGGTTTAAAAATAACTTCACATCTAAGCTACTAAAAAAATTTAATTATTTCTATAGAAGACCTACGAGTCGGAAACATGGACCTTAGTGCAGAAAGAGCAACAGGCACTAAGAAAATTCGAGAGCAAAGTGATCACAAGAATTATTTTTGATTACCTTGAACTTGTGTGTAGGAGATCGGTTGGGATGTCCAAGAGACGATTTGTAGACTATGTAAAGGACGACCTAAGAAAACTGAATGTCAGGGGTTGGAGACGACAGACGCGAAATGGACAAGTATAGAAGGAACTGTTAGGATAGACCAAGGTTCATAACGAGCTGTAGAGCTCTTACATCCTAAATTTACGCCGTCATCAAAATTATGAATAATGCTGACGCTACATGGCGAAAATAATCGATCTTGTCATGTAAACAGTTTTAGAAACTATGTACTTATAAAATCAATGATGAATGAAACCATATGAATGCAATCATATGGTTTCGGTCCCTACACGTGCCTCCGATATTATGTGTAAATACGGTTTTGGTGTACAGTCACTTTTTATTTTGCCTGTATGTATGGTCTGATCTAAATCACATATTAGATGCAAGTTTTATCATATATGTAGCTGCGGCTAACAGGATGAGTAATTTCTAGTATTTTCTATATATCTTTAGTCATTTAGGCCCACTTTTACCACCTCTTGATAAATTTAACCGATAGATAAATGGCGCTCTTAGCCAATGAGAGCGCTTAAAACCGCTGTAACCATGGTAATTATCTATCGGATAAATTTAACAAGAGGTGGTAAAAGTGGGCCTTAATAAATGAAGCAGTAGTAATTTTAACTAGAAGAAAATAGTTCAAGTATTTCAACGGTCAATTTACTTTTCCCATTTTTAAACACAACGAATATGTGAGTGTTCGAAGTAAGGACCCTTCTTTCTCCAAGGAATAAACTTATTTTGCAACGCTTCTTCTTCTTCATATTGGAAATCTGTCCATTTGTTAATTCTGAGATCGTTGCCTTTGAACCATTTCCAGCTGTCACGCCATCTGTTTGGGGGTCTTCCAGGTAGTCTTGAACCAGGGGGGTTATTTACAAGTACAATTTTGGGAAGCCTATCAACGCTCATACGCCTCACGTGGTTATGCCATTATATTTTCCGTTATCTTCCCCATCTCACTATGTCTAGAAGGTTGCATTGATCTCTAATATCCGAATTTCTCTCTCTGTCTATTCTCGTTTTCCCTGCAATTGATCTTAGTGTCTTTATCTCGGCCACTCGTAGTATGCTCTTGGTTTTGTTTGTTTCTGCCCTTACTTCTATTCCGTATGTCATTATCTGTCTTATACACGTTTTGTATATAATAATTTTGCTGTCTATTCGCATATATTATACGGGTTCGACCTGATTGTGTCTCTTAAGCATCCTGACATTGCGGTTATTTTATTAATTTGGTTCCTCAAGTCTTTCACTGGTTCATGAATGCTAGATATGTGTACGCCTAAATAGTTAAATTGTATGACTTGTTCTATGGACTTATCATCGACTACGAGTTTACATCTGATCGGATCTTTTGCAGTAGTCATGGTCTTGGTTTTATCAATGGAGTGGTAGACTTGTTGTATGTCGTCTTTTGGTTCTGCGACTATTGCTGCATCATTCGCGTAGCACGCCACACTAACTCTCTTTGTGCTCATCACATACGCCACATTTAAGGATGTTACTTCCTTTATGATTTTATTCATCAGGAGATTAAACAAAAAGAGGCTAAGGCTGTACCCCTGTCTAATTCCTCATTGCTCATGTCATAACTCATGTATTATCTTTACTATGTTGGCTGGCGCATTCTTTTCTTTAAAAGGCTTTCTTTCAAAAGCTTTCGTAAGATCTACGAAGCAGATGAACACAGGTTTGTCAAACTCGATGGACTTTTCTTTTATCTATTTGATTATGATTATTATTCTTAAATATTGAAATGGTGATACTGTTATGCCATTCATCTGGTACTTTTGAGTCATGAAGAACATTGTTGAACATTTTGCAACGCACGGGTAAGAAATTATAATTCCTAATATTACAATAAATATGACTGGTAAGTTATTACATTAACATTATTATATTTTTATAGCTTACTAATTTATGATAAAAATACCTGCTATTTTATCATAAGGCCTTAAATATCAGTCCTTGTAAGTAATTTTTCGCCTGACGCGTAGGCTACTTCTTATACAAACCCAACCCATAAAATTACTTTCTATAGTTGCTTACTTATAATGCAAATTTAAACTATAAAGATAAATACATTCCCTTAAGTAATTATTACAACAGATTAATTAGAATATTTGATTTGAAAAAATTAAATACTTTTTTAATTTTGAAAACGTTCGAATATTTTAGCTTAAAATACCATACAAAATAAATTATAATCGCATTAAATTATATTTTTAATTGTTATTTGTATCATGTAGTCATTATTGTTAATAGGAGTACTTCCTTTTTTTAATGCTAATTTCCCTCCACTTTGAATAGGTTGTTCAACTCATTCATAAGTACCGCATTGCAGAACGTTTCCCTCAGAGATAACAATCAGCAAATACAACATTCCAACTTCTAAACTACTTTACATGGTAGAATAATGGCAATAAACCTAATCAAATACCGGGAAAGCCTTCAGAGTGCATGGAAAGACGTGTTGGATGATAAAACCGATACAAATTGGTAAGTTTATTTTCATTAAAATCTAATAATTCCTTTATTTTTAGGTTAGGTTAATAAATTTTCAATTTATTCCTATCATTTTAGGGCGTTATTTGGTTATGAAGGGCAAAGTAATGACTTAAAAGTCGTTGGAACTGGTAGTGATGGTCTTGAAGAACTCACAGAAGAGTTTAATAGTGGTAAAATAATGTATGCCTTTGTGAAAATTGATGACCCAAAAACCTCTCTACCCAAATGCGTTTTAATTAACTGGCAAGGTGAAGGTGCTAATACAGTAAAAAAAGGGATTTGTGCTAACCACCTTAGAGATATAGAGAAGTTTTTTACTGGTGCTCATTTAACAATAAATGCTCGAAATGAAGATGAAGTTGATGTTGATTTGATTATACAAAAAGTGTCAAAGGTTGGGTCTGCATACAGTTTCAAAAATCGTGTTGAACCCGTTGAACAAACTAAACCTGTTGGTACTAATTATAAAAGAGTGAATCCAATAAAAGAAATAAACGCCCAGGAAAGAGATCAATTTTGGATGAAAGAAGAACAAGAAGAGAAAATACGATTAGAACAAGAACATAAGAAAAAGGAACTTGAAAGAAGAAAATTAGAAGAAGATACCAAACAAAGAGAAATTGAAGAGAGTTTAATAAGAGATGCTAGAACTAAAGAAAGAAATAATAGTATCGATCAAGTTAAACAAGCTGAAAAAGTCGCTTACGAAAAACAAAAAAGCCACGAACAAACTAAATACAGAGAAGAAGTAGAACATAAAGTAAACAGAAGTGATTTATTGCGTCAAGAAAGGAAAAAGGAAGCTCAAGAATTAATCGGACAAAGAACTATTGATGCTAGGTCAATTTTTGAACAAAATACTTCGGCGGGACAAATAAAACGTACTCCAGAAAAACCAGTGAGAGCATCCATTTTAAAAGCTCAAAGTCAAGTTGCAGAGGCTGTTCAAAATCATGTGCAACCTGAAGAATCAACAGAACAGCCACCTCAACCTGTTCATGAGGAACCAGGAAGTGATGATGAATCCGATCAATTTGCTACAATTAAGCGATCTCCTAAAGATATTGAAAAGAAAACTGCAACTAGTCCTATTGTTGAAGAGAAAAATGGTATAAATAGTAAACATGTTGAAGTCGTTAAGGAAGAACATAGGGAACAACCTAGGGTGTTGACAGAACAACAGTTTGTTGATGAAGTTATCTATGGTGATTTAGCAGACCCTGGATATCAAGCAAGAGCTCTTTATGATTATCAAGCAGGTAAATATATTTTGTTGGTTTAAAGAGTAAGTTGGCAAATTTTTTGTTTGGATTTAACCTTATCTCCATGAGCCTATCAGTAGGATTTTGTGTTGGTATATAATGACATAGCTTAGTCATAAAGTTGATAAAGTGATAAATTTTTTTATAGTGTTTTATTATTACTAAAACAAAATAATTAAATATACAGGTTATACAGGGTGTCTCACGTCAATGGTTCCTTAGAACTTTCTCAGGTTCCACTAATCATAGAGATTTGAAATTTTGGTAGCATGGGTTGTTCATTTGGAACTTTCGATCTAAAATATTTTCATGATTTCCGCCACTTCCGGTCTACCGGAAGTAGACCATAACTTCGTTATTTTAAATGGAATACTATAGTTTTTATTACACCGTTTAATTGTACGTAAAAAAATAGGTTGACTTTGATAAAAGTTATTGGTACCTAGCGTTTTTCGTTTTCGAGTTATTTTGGTTTAAGCTTTTTTTGGTCAATTTCAACATGCTCTTTACAACCCCATATCTCAGCCTACGTTCATTCAAAAAAGATCTACATTGTCACGATTACTATTCAGATGCTGTCAAATAGATTGTCATTTGTTGTATTGGAGTAGCTTATACAGGAAGGCCAAAAATTGAATTACTGTTTCTTCATATTAAATGGCGAAAAAGTCGAAAATTTTAAATAGAACCTCCCATATTTTTTTAGCCTATCAAAAAGGGAATTTAATTCTCTACAAATTATCTATAAACATTCTATTTATTGTAGTTTGCCTCATATTGGGAAATATATTAAAACATGCACGAAATGCAGGTTTTTTTATTAGAAAGCTATGGAATTTTGACAGTTTTTGGTCTATGTTTGTATTATTGTTGTCATTAGCTACAATTGACGACAGGTGTAAGTCATTGAACATCATGACAGATTATTCCAACGCCGATATTTGAAATTTATTTTATATTGATGGCGAATGTACTTTTGGACAGGACGCACAGTGTTAGGAAGTTATGAATATCTGGAAAATCTAATTAAAACTAAATGAAGTTGAAAATGTTTAATACCATTATAATATCTCCTTAATGGTTAGCTAGTATTTGTTTCATCCCTAAACAGTGCTTAAAACAAAATTTAGGGTTGTGAAACAAATATTTGAAAATAAAAGCGAAACAAAGGTATTGTTGTGGGTTGGGTTGGATGTTTAAGCTAATGTAACTCCGAAAACATGGCACATTTATTTCATGTATCCTAACAGTAAGTAGATACACTTATACAGTGTGTCCGTAAAGTAACGGATATAGGCGATAAAATCATAATAAACGATTTATGGAAAAATCCCTGAAACGGGTCTAAAGATTTAAATTTTTTGCAATTGTTTGGTGTAGATTTCAAATTTTTTCCGCCATTTTTAAACGAGTTTTGGCGTCATCGATATTTTTTTTTAATGGCAATCCCCCAGTTTTATTGCGGAATATGAAAGAGGATTTTTTTCTGAATCTAGTACAGTCAATATTAATATTAGTTACATAAAAAAATTTTCGAGAAAAATTACTTTAAAGTTTAATTATTTCAAATTTGTATAATGATAAAAATAGCAGTAGCCATGAGTAACTATGGTAACCAATTATTCAAAACTATTCCCTGAGTGTCAAAAACTGATTTAGTAAAGCTTTTTGAAGTGTGATGGCGCGCCATCTTGTTGAAATAACTGCCGTTGGAATTGAGTTGTGTCAACATTATCGGAATGGAAGGAATGACATCGCTTTGAAGAAATGTAAACATCTCTTTCCACTTAAGGTTTCCTTAAATCTTTTGCGGATATTGGGTGTGCGACTTTCTTGGCTAATTTGGATTTTGGGTAGCGCAATACCGACAACTTTGTCTGTTTACTTGTCCACTCAATGTAAATGTATCTTCGTCGAAAAAATTATGTTTTTGACAAAGTCTTCGTCATCGTTACAAAATTGTTGTTGCAAAAACTACGATTCATTGCTCGTGAATCAGGTTTACTTTATGGGAATGATATTTTGCGTGTTTTAAAATTGTATCAACTGTTGATTTACTAATGTCGAAATTAGACCCGATACTCCTTACAGTAACATGAGGGTTTTCTTGCCCAGCCAAAACCACGATTTGTTGAACTTCCCTTGCAACATTTAGTAGGCTAGACTTCGAGATATGCTTTGAGAGATGGCCATGCTGTTTAAATTTACTCACAGCTGGGCTCACCATACTTTGGCTAATGAGTTGGCGATCAGGATATGTTGTATTAAAGAGGAACTTACTAAATCAGTTTTTGACACTTAGGAAATTGTTCAAAATAATTGGTTGCCATGGTTACCCATGGCTACTGCTATTTTCCTCATGTCAACAAATCTGAAGTAGTTAAATTTTAAAGTAATTTTTCTCGAAAATTTTCTTATGTAAGCAATATTAATATTGACTGTAATAGATTCAGAAACAAAAGTTCTTTCATATTCCGTAATAAAAATGGGGAATTGCCATTTGAAAAAGATACCGATGACGTCATAACTCGCTTAAAAATGGCAGACGAAATTTTAAATCTACACCAAACAATTGCAAAAAATTTAAATCTTTAGACCCGTTTCAGGGATTTTTCCATAAACCGTTTATAATGATTTTATCGCCTATATCCGTTACTTTACGGACACACTGTATAATATAATAGTGGACTCTAAGAAAGTTCTAATGAACCAGTTTCCTGAGACATCCTGTATACTGTGTACATAAAGTATGAAATCAATTCGATAAAAATTTGAGGGATATTTTTCCAGAAAAAATTCTTGGATCTATGTTATATTTTTTAACGCACATTTTTTGAAATAAAATTGAAATGTACAGGTGTCCCAAAATTGAGATACCATGCCTAAGTTGACATTTCAAAATAGGAACATGGGTTTTTTTGTTGCATTTATAGATGTAGCTGTCTTCGAAAAAATAGCAGTTAAAAAATACTGTTACTATTTTATTTGCAATAATAGAGTAAATTGCGCTATTCTCTGTTTCTGTGTTAATTTGTGACAAATGTTTAATAATGTAATGATAACCATAAATTATGTTTTAACCCATAAGCAAATTTAGTATTTTAACATACTGTCTTAANGGTAGCATGGGTTGTTCATTTGGAACTTTCGATCTAAAATATTTTCATGATTTCCGCCACTTCCGGTCTACCGGAAGTAGACCATAACTTCGTTATTTTAAATGGAATACTATAGTTTTTACTACACCGTTTAATTGTACGTAAAAAAATAGGTTGACTTTGATAAAAGTTATTGGTACCTAGCGTTTCTCGTTTTCGAGTTATTTTGGTTTTAAGCTTTTTTTGGTAAACTTCAACGTGCTCTTTACAACCCCATATCTCAGCCTACGTTAATTCAAAAAAGATCTACATTGTCACGATTACTATTCAGATGCTGTCAAATAGATTGTCATTTGTTGTATTGGAGTAGCTTATACAGGAGGTCAAAAATTGAATTACTGTTTTTTCATATTCAATGGCGAAAAAGTCGAAAATCTTAAATAGAACCCCCCATATTTTTTTAGCCTATAAGAAAGCGAATTTAATTCTCTACAAATTATCTATAAACATTCTATTTATTGTAGTTTGCCTCATATTGGGAAATTTATTAAAACATGCACGAAATGCATGGTCAAAAATCTAATTAGAACTAAATAAAGTTGAAAATGTTTAATACCATTATAAAATCTCCTTAATGGTTAGCTAGGTTTCATCTGTAAACAGTGCTTAAAACAAAATTTAGGATTTTGAAACGAATATTTGAAAATAAAAGCGAAACAAAGGTATTGTTGTGGGTTGGGTTGGATGTTTCACCTAATGTAACTCCGAAAACATGGCACATTTATTTCATGTATCCTTATAGTAAGTACACTTATATAATATAATAGTGGGCCCTAAAAAAGTTCTAATGAACCAGTTTCGTGAGACACCTGTATACTGTGTACATAAAGTATGAAATCAATTCGATACAAATTTGAGGGATATTCCTTCAGAAAAAATTCTTGGATATCTATGTTATATTTTTTAACGCGCATTTTTTGAAATAAAATTGAAATGTACAGGTGTCCCAAAATTGAGATACCATGCCTAAGTTGACATTTCAAAATAGGAACATGGGGTTTTTTTGTTGCATTTATGGATGTAGCTGTCTTCGAAAAAATAGCAGTTAAAAAATACTGTTACTATTTTATTTGCAATAATAGAGTAAATTGCGCTATTGTCTGTTTCTGTGTTAATTTGTGACAAATGTTTAATAATGTAATGATAACCATAAATTATGTTTTAACCCATAAGCAAATTTAGTATTTTAACATACTGTCTTAAATTTTTTTTTATACCTATATTTATTTTCCTTCGTCCTCACTGTGTTTTACAATTTCAATATGAGTTGCAATTGACGATAAAAAAATCATTTCTTTCTTCATCGTTTTCAAAACAGAGAAGGCTTATAAGTTCTTCAGAAAAATCTGTATTATTCCTTGATTTCTTGCTATGAAATGATATTATAATTAGGTCTGAAGATATTAATAGTCTGTTTAAAATGTCTCTATTATTGTGTATTCTTAACATTTTTCTGAAAAAGTTCTCTCTATACGTTCTAAGGTCTTTATTCCGAGTTTCTTGCGCTTCTTCTGAAAGCAGGTCAATCTGGATACTTAATGATTTTATTATTAAGTGGCCATGCACAAGAATTTTACGCACTGCCACAGACATATAATACCAATTATATAATTGATTCTATTACGTTTGTAAAATTTTTAAATGCAGCAGTGTTCATTTCTAGATACTAATTTTTGTGGAATAGGCATCTGGTTTGGCATTTTAATGCGTCATTGATTTTCTTTTTTATTACTGTGTGTTAGATAGGTATTTTTTAACTAAAAAAATACTTAGGACTTGTTTGGGAAGAAGGTTACAACATGATATCCGAATCGTCAGTTTTTTTTAAGACGCACGGTTAAGCCCGAAAGCTTCTAGTTTCAAAACTAACTTTCAGTATTCACTGTCGAATATCCGTAGACACCATTGCAAATATGCGCAATTTATTTTATTGGGAATGGATAATATAGGCTTGAAACTACATAAAAAACAAATTTCCACCTGGGATCTTGTGGGACTTTTTTTGTAGCTTAAATTAAAGTTTAAGATTGCAAATAAAATTTGTTTATAAACAGTGTTGACAAAAAGATAAATAAATCCAGCATTCAAGAAGCTCTTGTAACATAAACAACACATACAGTTTAAAATTATAGTAAAATTTCATAAGGGTACAACTTCTAATACGTTTACTATCGTTTCTCATCATTAATCAAATGTATAAGTACGAAGGCTTTCACGGCCGGTGTGAATTAAACTAAAATTAGAACTAACACTAGAAACTTTCGGGTTTTGCCGTGCGTCTTTTAAGAAAAGGTTTGACGTTTTGGATGCCATGTTGCAACCTTCTTCAGAAACTGGTTCGAAGTGGTAAGACACATATTTTAAACTTTCATAATAACTTTTATGAAAGTCAACATATTTTTTTACTTACAATTAAAAGGTGTAATAAAAACGATAGCATTCCATTTAAAAGAACAAAGTTATTGTCTACTTCCTGTTGACCGGAAGTGGCAGTCATCTTGAAAATATTTTAAGCTCCCAATGAACAATCCATGCTACCAAAATTAGTACCTTAAAAAGTTCTAACGAACCAGTTACGTGAGACACCTGTATATGTTTTAAAAAATAATCTGAAAAATGAAAATATGGAAAAACTGATTTCAAAACAAAAATAAATAATTAATAATTAGCTCTTTTATATAAAATTGATAAAATATGTTGTGATTCCAAACAGAAAAAGTAAACTAGTCAAAATGACATTTCTTTGTCTACAGAACGTGAAAGTCCTTAACATCCAGAATGTAACAGTTATTTACATCATAGTCTGGAAAGTTCTCTATAGCAGGCGAAGAACATTGAATATTAAGTTCCGAGCCTAGCAAGTCAATTTTACAGCCGCGAATAGTATTAAATTTATCCTGAAACCATAAAAATTGTTATTAAATTTCTAGTACACACAATTGCCTATAGAAACGCCAGGCGAAACATGGTGTTACTTAGAAGTTATTAAACTTAAAATTTATTATCCGAATTTTGTTATTTACTTTTTTCTATTCATCAAATAGATTCAGCTTTTTCTGGAACAACTAAAATTAGAACTTGTACTAGCCCTAGAACCAACACTAGATCTAGAACTAGAAACATTTAGGTTTAGCTGTACGTCTCTTGAGACGGCTAAAACTGTACTTTCTTTATTTTATGTTGCAAAATATGCCAATATAACGCCATCAAATACGTTTTTCAATTTCTTAGAGTCGCATCAACCCTTAAATTCTTTATAACCAAACTTATATTGTCTTGTTGATTTACTGGGAATAAGTCCAGAAATTGCAGTTTTTGCTGCTTCACACACTTTATAAGGTAAGTCTTCGTCACTCTCCGACGACATATTCTATATTTTTGTAACTTCACAATATATGTATAAATTATTAATTGTTAATAAACAATGCATGTTACTCCTAAATCCTTATTGTTTACACCGTTTGTTTTTGTTTACTTCATTTCCATAGTCATCACAACATCAAAGAATATGTGATGTTCAAAAATAAATAGTTATTTGATTCGCGATAACAAAATTCTTTCGCATTTTCGAACGTTTCTTTACGTTTTTTAAAAAATCGTTCTTGAATGTGAAAGTGTTATTTCACTATTTTATATCAAAAATAACTATTCTTTATAGTTCAATATTACCTTTTATTGTGTTTTTTTGCAAATATAAATAAAAAAGATTATACAAACGTTTATAATATACGACATCTGCTCCATAATAAGTGAACCATTACCGATTTTTATTTTTCCAAATTAAGTGAGCCACTTTAGTATTAAAAGTACAGTGCACTCGCAATAGTTTGAACACAAAAATACAATGGGTCGTTCATACTAAGGAGAGTGTAATTAAATAAATTAACATTATTACTTAAACCTAAATCAATTATGTAATTATGTAAATGTTCATGTAACATTTTTAAGATTTTAAAAAATCTATAACTTTTTTCTGAATATATTGTTAAGCAATTTTGAGTTATGGCAATGACTCATTTTGATCTTCATCGGAAGAAGACATTTTCACAACATCTGCGGCTTCATCCTTGTCCAAATATTCCACATTTGCAACAATGTAGCCATCCTAAAATTTGCAGTACATATTTGGTTATGCTATCGACTTCTTAAACCACTTATGAAGTATAGCGTTAACTTATTTAAGCTAGTGCCTGTAGTAAGTTTATTGTATCCCTAATAAAATCATTGTCAAACTTTGGATACAAAACTTTCACATCTTAATTTTTCTAAAAACGTTATCTTCGTCTTTTCTGGGATTTTCCCTACGAAGCTTTACCTTGTTAATATGTTTAAACAAGGTTTGGTAACGAGTGCATCAAGTCGATTTTTATTATTTCGCGATGTGCTTCTTGTACTATAAAATGGCCATATTCCAATTTTGTCATCAAAGTGCTGCATCATAATTCGCACCGCGGCGGTCGGGGAATAGCTGATAAAATTACTTTTGCCATGATTGACTTACTTTCAACTTGACGACATGGTTCAACTTTAACTGGTAGAAGATAGATTTCATCAACGTGAATGTAATTCATTAAACCCTCAAACTCGCCGTTCCCATAGTGTCACTTTATTGTTCTCTTTTAAAAGCGATTTCAAGCAAGTTCGGGCTCCCTCGCCACTTTTCTTCAGTTCTCCCTGCAGGATGGTCGGCGCTTCCATTCCCTCACTCCCTGCCTCCTCAAGTCAGAATTTTGCTCGTCCACGTGTCCAAGCGTCGCTTGTCCTTAATTAGTACCCATGTCTCGCAGGTGTACATAATCACGGACGCAAAAGTGTTCTATAAATGAGCTTTTTTATATTTCTATGCAGAAGTTATGACCTGAGCAGTTGCCGGAGGCTAAAGTAGGCTCCGTTTCCAGGTTTGATTGTTTCCTCGAGCCAACCCATTTGCATTATTCTCTGTTAAGAAGGATACCAGATATTTAAATGATGCCACGTTTTCAAACGAGTACCCGCCGACAGTTAACGGTAGCCGTATCCCAGTCCTTCTTCTAGACATGAGCATATATATTTTGTCTTATTTTCGATAATATGGAGGCCAGCCGTCCTTGAGTCCCGTTCTGGGCTTTGCGTTGCTGGTTTTAACAATGTTGTTCCCTGTCGTATTCCGATGCTCCTGACGATCTTTTCTAGAGTTAGATTGAATAAGTCAGGTTTGTTGCGAAAACGGTTCTATGCATCTGACAAGCAGCTTCGTTAGTACTTTGTATGTTGTGTTGAATACTGGGATTCCTCAATAGTTTTCACTTGTTAGTTTTGACTCTTATTAACCGGGCATATCATGCTTACTGTCCACCTCCTAGGTATTCTCTCTCGCTCCCACACTTCACCAAGTGGATGATATATCTCTAGCAACAAGCAATTGAAATAGCGCTTAATTAAATTCTTTTGTAATGAATGAATGGAATGTTGACAATTAGTTCTGTTCCGCAATGGTCCCGCACCTTGTTTCCAAATTCTTTTTACCCGTCCATTTTTATGAATGTTAAAATAAATAACATTTTAAACTAAAAATTTAACAAAATAGTAATAATTAACTTAATCTAAACAATTAAGGAGTAACTATTAAAGTTTAACAAAAATAAAAATGTTAAAGAAAATGTTCGATGACACTATATTCACTTAGTATGCATGCTTATGTCTTCAACGCCTATTTTAAAATGCAAAACCGATTTCCTGTATAATTAAATGCTAATTACTACAAGAAATAGCTTTTATGAAGTCCACACGTTCCCCGCCTCTAGTTTATGATACTCTAACTATACTTTCAATACTACGAACATACCAATAGGGCTCTGATTTGATGTACGTTTCAACCCATGAACAGTTCCCAAGGACATTCAGTAGTAGTAGTGTGGTAGACGCACTTTGAAACTTGACTATTTGCATCGCATCGTTCTATTTGTACCAATATGTGTCTTTAATGTCTGTTTTAGTGTAGTAATATAGCCATTATAGTAAAAGGATATCGCGCGTTTGTAAATATACATTCGTATTTTCTCTGTAACCTGCTGGCTAACTATTCTAACTTGCTCTTTACAGTAAATTGAGAGCTGTGTGATCATAATACGGGCAGATTATTAGCGGGCCGTAGTTTAGTGTACTCTTTCGATATAATATTAGTTTTGTGGAATATGGAGGACATTGTTTGCACATTGTTAATTAAGTTTCACTTTAATACGGGATTTACCTAGCGATTTAAAGCGGAATATTTTTCGAAAATAAATAGTAAAGTTTTCTCCCAATATTTGTTGGTAAACTCAAAAATTATGAATTATTGCAAACATATTGAAATTGTCTGGTTTGACTGACAACTAAAAAGTAACTATATGTTGTTGAAATAAAACTGTATTCTTGTTTCAGCTGATGATACAGAAATTACGTTTGATCCAGGTGACCTTATCACACATATAGAATTTGTTGATGAAGGCTGGTGGCAAGGCTTAGGCCCAGACGGAACCTATGGTTTATTTCCGGCAAATTACGTTGAATTGATTGGTTGAATTGAATAAGGGTACATGTAAGTTCGCGCAATTAAATCAACCCATTTATTATGTGGCATCATCATTATTTTTTTTGTATTAAAATCGGTAAACTCGCATTTAGCTTGCTTCAGTATACGTATACAATAATAAGTTTATTATGGCCTATAAATATGTTAACTTCAAGTAATTATACATATATCCTTTTTTATTTTAAGTAATTAACTACAATTATATTTTATTATGGTATTATTTGCTTTATATATTTTTTATTGGAATTCCATTAATTTTTAAGACTATTTTCTTTGCTCAAAATAGTGCAATTAATTAGACTGCCTTCATCAAACCATTTTTGTTATTAAATAAGCACTAAGAAAATGTAATACCAAATGTCTTGTGCCAACCCATTACTTTTCAACTCGTTTTAGCATAAAAAGTCAACAAAAAGACGTGTGATGAGCCTTTCTTTAATCCTACTATTAATATTGTTATTTATACAGATCAAATGATTATAATATATCGTACGTTGTGAAAGTGTTTATAGTTATTGTGGTATGGATGATCAGACATAACAAATTCGTAAAATTAAATTAAAAAGAAGAAATAAATTGAGATTATTGTTAGAGTATTTCCTATTTTCTAACTTATACGTCACATTAATATGCACGGATGAAAGAATACAATAAAGCAAAAAGTTATCGTTCGTTACGGTAAGGCTTAATTGACGTAAATTAGACATTTGCTATCTTAACAAGAAATGAAACTCGTAACCGACAGTCATAATTTGCACTTACATTCGATATTTGTCTACTTTGTGATATAGCCATTGTACTACAGACATTTGTGAATAAAATTCTAAGAAAAACTTGATTATAAAGTTATTTTTATTATACGATCAAAAAAAAAAAATACCTTCCTTATATAATACAGGTTTATAAAACAAATAAGGAATTTGTGGACTTGGATTCTAGAAAATATCCTGCTGTTTATGTTATGGGATAACATTTTTAGGTCGAAAATAGTAAAAATAGTTTTCTTTGTAAGCCGATACCCTATACTTGGATGACGTGGCGCAGGGATATCGTTATAAAAGAAGGATTTTAGACTTCCATTTGTATACCATCAAAACAGGATTACGTATTATATAAAAGATGTATTGGATAAAAAAAAAAAGAATGAAACTGAACTCTAAGTGTAAAATAACATGTTAAAAATTAAAATGAAAAAGATTGTATGTATGGTTTAAGGGAAACAGTGTAAGTTTGATTAAATTTTTGAAATTCTTTTACATCTTTGTATGGTTTATATCAGAGAATTCGATACTTTTATATTTATTCCTAAAACCAATTGCTTATTATTTATTTACTATTAGTTACGTGATAGTGTCCAACGATCCCAGTACTTCGCTGGCGATTTCCAATTAAAACCTATTTTTCAACCATTTTTAATTAAAAATGCAGATTTTTCTGGTCTTATTCACATACATATGCATTTGTAACCTTCGCCGAGTGACAAACAACTCAGATTTAGCGGTACTAACAATAAGAACGATAACGAACATTCAAAATTTTTTAATAATGTTGATTGATCACCAGGACCGACATTGAAAAGTCGGAACCGAGATTCGAACAGTACCTAAAAAAGAATGTATGTAGGATAGCGGGAGGGTTCCTCATTCGGGCAACCCGTACGTATGGTCTTACCACAGCAACCAATACATTACTGTGAGGAACAGGTATAGTACGTTGTCGATCTTTTGAGCTGAACGTGTTAATTAAGAATACATAGGCTTTTAATGTGTTAGACGATTGTGCTCCTCAAGATTTATAGAACAAAAAGATCCTTTAACGTTGTAACGCATCCATTAAAAATCAATTGTTTTTACACAATCTTAACAAATCTTGAAAAAAAACAAAAAAATTTTTTTACATGAATGCTAAAGGTAATTGCGACTACTTCGCTTTATCGAATTAACTCGGATTATAAAAAATACTTGAAGAAACAGTATCGAGTTGGATTTTTTCTTTGCTGTTGTTGGCTCAAATTATGAAAAATGTCTTGGTGATAATCTCAAGGATGTTAGAACGTTTGATGGCCGTCCACATCTTGAAATGCTGGTAGTTTTACATTTTTCCAATGGAGTGTTCAAGTACTTTCAGACGAAAATTAAATGAATCTATTTTAACGCCAGATATTTGTGAAACACGTGTTCTATATTGCCAGATCTAAGAGTTATAAGAAAACACCATCCATGGCGTGATTATAATCCAACACAAGTTGCGGTTTTTTATTCCTTTGCGGTTCTCTACAACCACCATTGGTGGTCTGTGAATGGTAGATAGAAGAGAGCAACTATAACCACCAACAGCAATATTTTTTAACTTAAGCTCTTTCGATGAAGGCGAATAGTAATAGTAATAATTACTTTCCTTGTTTAAAAGAATAACAAATATTCTGTTCTAAAAAAAAAACAGCGGATAGTTCAGTAGACTGGTTTGACGAAGAGTACAACGATGATACGGAAAGAAATAATGAAGCCTGTAGAAAAGTGCAGCAGCGTACAGAGCTGAGGAGAGCAAAGGAGAGAGGCCAAATACGATCTTGACGCTAATGACGATACTGAAGTAATGCATGTGTTCATAAGACAAAGATGTCAATTACGAAGTATTTATATAGAAAACCAAACTGCAGGTGTCACGTATTAACTCGGGTAAGTACGTTAACAGGTCAACTTATGATACGGAATTCCCTCTCAAAAAGCTCGTTATACATTTTAATTTTTATTGCGTTTTCTAGTTTCAAAGCAATCTTAATTAACAAGTTGGTGTGGAATCATTAAAGTTTTTTGCTATCTGTGTTTTCGGGTTAGTTCAGATTATTTCATTTTTTTCACGTAGAGGATCATGAAATACCATCTACGCAATATTCGACCTGTTCCGAAGTTGCTACTTCTTCAACTTCTTCCACATATCGGGATCTTAATGTTCTGCTTACGGGTGCCATTAAGGTGTTAATGGCGTTCATTTTAACTTCTTTGTGAGCCGATTACGCTGAGCGGAAGTCATTTTCGAATCGACTTCCTCGAACTCTCGGTGAGATACTATGGAGGTGTGGTATCTTTGCCACTTGGATTATACCCCATTTGCCCCCAGGTGCGGAAATCTGCTCATCCACTACGTTGCACTACGTGGGTATAGGGTTCCGCCCTTCTTTTTTTGGCCTCGGCTCTCCAGTTCCGTTTTTTGCAGTAGACTTCACTGAAACCCTAGCCGTCGGGTTATCTCGCAACAGGTTTGGATGTGACCTGAGATATAAAAGTTGACCTACTGAACTTTTATCCCTTTTTAATTCTTATTGCAAACATTTGTTAACAACAAGTTGAAACGTTTTTACGGTACTTAAATAGGGATTTCCTTTAAAATCAATCGAAAATCGAGGAATAGGAAAACAAAGGCATAATCAGAATTACAAAGATTATAATTACATCTTTATACAGGGTGTTCCGTATCTTCCGGATCAGAGCATTATACGGTTGAATATCTTCGTTGTTATCTAGTTCCCAAGGCTCTACATTTACAATTAATTTTAGACTTCAATAATGGTTTTGTTAGAAAAGTTAAAATGTATTTTTGAAAGTCCAGCTTTTCAAAACTGGACAGTTTGAACACAAAACTGTAATACTATCTGTCCTGTAAAAGATAACGCTCTTTGCTCCCTGCTGATGAGTTCAATAAAACTTTGTTCGTTTAAAGCCTTTTCCATTCTAATTTAGAATCCGGTAGAATTTCTTGGTGTCTCCTTTCCCGTGTGTGAATCCTGCTTTCTTCCCTCCTCCGTGTTCTATACTCCTTCGTTTGTCTAATTCAACGTTGCTGGTGCACTCTTCGTCAAACCAGTCCATTGAACTCCGTTGTTTTTTTTAAATATTGGAACTTGCAGTCTCATGGAAATATTTCTAGATGTGTTCAAGTCAATTTAACATTTTCATTCTTTTATTTCCAAACTCCAAATTTATGTTTTCATTGTACGCTCTATTTGTGCTGTGATCTTTAAGGTTTAGTGAATTTCTCGTGTTGTTGTCCTAATATTTTTTTGACATTCGCATTTTTGCTCTACCCCTACTCACAACCAAGTAGTGGTCAGAATCGACGTTAACAACGATTACATAAAACCAAAAGCAATCGAATCGTTTTTATTGGTCAAATACTTGCTATTAAAAATGGACGATTTCGCATCTAATTTGCAACGATTTCCAACGAATACATAACCATTCATGTGTGTTAACGCTTCGTTCAAAGTAGTAAGTAATTGGTTCTACGAATCCACTTATTATGTTAATTAAAGCTTTCAAAGTTATTAACGCCCGTTTGTGCCGCAATAATTAACCATCAGTTAACACTAATATTTACTTGCACCGTTCATTAAGCCCCACTTATTTTCAGTTAATTAAAGTTTCATTTACGAGTTAAATTTTCGGGTGTTACTGATGCTTTAAGGATAGTTTAAGACTGACTGTGAAATGGTTATTTGTATATTAAGGCATAGAAAAAAATTGGAGCTGAGATCGCTTTTACATCAGTATATACAATTTGAAGAGATATTCTTATGTAAACGCAGAAAAAGCAATGATACAATTCATCGCAAAATTTTAATTTCTCTCATTGAAAAAGCAGTTATGATTAGTGTGTTTAGTGATTATAGATACAGCAGAGATTTATATCCTTACTATATTTATTAATATTATAGTTCATGTGTTTATTTTTTGTTTATTTGGTGTCTGAAATATAAACAATAAAATTAACAACCTAGAATTTTCAAATTAAAAATAGCTTTTTACATGTGTTGTCGGTGGACGAAATTTTTAAGATTTTCCTAAATACGTTGTGATTTAGAGGACGGGAAGAATATATGTGATTTCCTCCACCTGTTGTGCATAATGCATTCTTATATTCTTGTATATTCATCCAAAAAAAATTTGCTATTCTTAAAATTACTTTTATTACCTTTATTTTTTCAAATGTAGACAACTCTGCTTTTGTTGTCTTCCTTTTCTTTTTTTTCTGCTTTTCTATATTATGATTTGTATTTGCGCAAATTGGTGTATGTAATTATCTGGGACCGTTAACACTTAATTAGTCACGTGGATAGAAGTAGTACACACATACACTTAACTTGGCGAAGATGATGCGTTGAAGATTAGGTTATCTGATTTGGTAACACCGTACCAGGCCCACGAAAATAAAATAACAAAATGTATGAGTTCACTGGTTTCCGGTATTGAGGCAGTCATTAGCTGTCTCGGGCATTCTAGTGACGATGATGAGAATAGTGGTAGTGGCAGGGCGAAATATTAATCAGATGATGCTAATGTTGTTATCTCGTCTGAAGGAGTACAAGTGTTCCTGGCTAAAGAACTGATAGTACACGTTTATAGAAATGATAGATTTAGGATATCGATTCTAAAATCTGCTAGTGATTTGTCGAAACTTTAATTTGGCAACGATTATATTTCTTTTTTCTTATAAGCTTACTCCCCTTAATTTATGTGCTTAACTATATATTACCAGAATCTGTATGGGTTGCACATCAACACTTCCACCTCGTATACGACTTGCCGGAACCTGGTCGACGACTTGATTTATTAACTGAGACCAATCTGAATGAATCTATCTGTAGCAGTTCATCGCTATCAATAGAGTCGTTCGGATGCAGATAGATTCCAAGATTCTTCTCAAAAAGTACAGTGTTTATCGTTATTGCTACTGTTAGTACTCTGGTTGTAGTACGGCGGTGTTCTTATTGTTATACGTGTGTCTTGGTTTTGTTCGGATGTCGAGGAGCTGTAATGAAGTACATGTTGTACACCCGAG